TTCTTGATGATTTCCAAGTTCACCGGGGGAAAGGAGACAGGCCCATCCAAGGTTCTCTTTACCACATGACGGTTCTGCACATCAAGGCTGGGGTCAAGTTCCTAGAACAGCCAGAGAGCACAAGGGTCCTTTCCCAAGCCCCTTGCAGGTCTCCCAGCACAAGGAGGAAGGCCCACGTGCCTTGGACCTCACCTCCCTCCCTCGAGGCCCAGAGCGTGGTCCCCGCCAAGGCCAGCACCACCTTCTCCCCTGGGCAGGAGTGGGGGGTAATGGGTCTGTGACATCGCGGGACACCGTCAGACTCCGCTGACACAGCAGGTAGTTTCACCAGCCTGTTTTTTCTTTCTTTCTTTGTTTTTGATTATAAGGACAGCTCTCTGGGCAGGGAGAGACATTGGGAAATGCCAGGGATCTAGAATGCAAAAGTGCCCATAAACACTCAAAAGTATTTTGTTGAACTGAATTAAATCTATCCACGGAAGACAACGTGAAAAACCAGGCAAAAACCCTTCACTGAGACAAGGGCGGGAAGGGGCCCCCACGCCAGTGGAACAGGGCGCCCAAGGCAGTGAAATGCGTAGCCTTCACTCCCAGGAAGGCCCTCCCCCAGGCCACCCGCCAGGCACACGTACCATCTCTGTGACCCGCAGGGCCTTCCTCATCTGCTGGGCCTCCCAGACATCCACAGCCTCCCCCTCGGAGCTGCCCTCCTCCCTGCCTTCACTGCTGGAGGCTAGAATGAAGAAGGAAGGGCTTAGAAGGCCCCACCCCTCGGACCTTTGCCAGAGGCCTTGGCCTCTCCCCAGTCCCTGCCCCTCCCGCTAAGCCCCACAGCTGCCTCTTTCTTCCTGTAACCCAACATCTCCATCACCGAGTCTAGGCCAGGCCATGGCCTCCCACCGCACCCCTCTTCTGCTACAGGCATGATGCTGCATGACTTCCCCCAACAAGACTCAGTGCAAAGGTACCAGGTCTGAAGCCAGAGGACCTGGGTTCAAATCTCGCCTGTGACACTTATATCAGGCCTGTGTGACCTAGAGTGAGTCACCTCCCTGGGCCTCTGTTTTCCCCCTCTAAACTGAGGAGTCCTATTCACAAGAGGAGGCATTCCCCAGCCACTCAATGGGCAAAGGACAGCAGGCCATTTCAGAGGAAGAAACACCAGTGAAAGCGCCCTCTGAGACTCCACCCCATGACCACCATGACCCTGATGCACCAGGACACTCGTGCCCTGCAGCTGCAGCTGCAGCCTCATGGGTCTGGAACAAGGAACCGTGCCCACCCTCGGGCCCTTGGTGCACCCTGAGGAGACCAAAGAATGCAGAGCGCTGGATGTGAGCGCCAAGGAAGGGGACGGATTCGGGGGGGGGGGGCCTCACCTGCTTTGCTGGCACCTCGCAGTCTCAGCATGTGGATCCCCGCTCCTCCGGGGGCGGGCTCGACGTCAGAGTCGCTGTCGCTGCTCCCCTTCAGATCCAAGACGCGGTCCCTCGGCGTCTCGCTCAGCGGGAGGTAGTCCTCTTGCGCCTCAGCCCCCCACCGCCGCCTTCGGGTCGGGCTGGCGGGGATGCCTGTGACACAGAAGACCGGCAGCGTCCAGGACCCTCGTCCGGTTGACGGCAGACCCCCCACAGAGGACTTGGGTATACTCCCAAGCCGTGGCAGGAGGCTCCTTTCTGCGCCGGGCACCTCCATCTCCCGCACACAGAGCCTGCTCGCCCGCCTGCCAGCCCAGAAATCACTGCCTGCCTTTCCTTCCCGGCACACAGAGCATCTGTGAGGGGCTCGGGCACCTGAGCACTCTCTGGCCCGGCGCTTCAGGCATCCCCGCTCTGGCTCATGCTCAGAACTGGCCACGGCACCGCTGGGCCACCCACAGGCTGGGCCAGACCGCTCTGCCGAGGAGGCCCCAGAGGACCTTCCCCTGCCTGTGTCTGCCCTCAGAAAAGAGACTCTCTCCCGCCTCCACTTCCCAAAGACTGCCTGGCGCCCTCCCCTTCTGGTCGGCCCACCCCCCAGGTCAGTCAGGAGGTGGCGCAGGCCCCAGGAGAGGAGGTACCGGGGTGACCTCATGGCCCTAAATCTACGGCCTGTGCTCTGCATCTTCTCTAAAATGACCCATGGGGTCAGGGAGAGCCCCTGGGCTACCCAGCCTGGGCATCGTCCCCCAGCCAGGTCCAGGAGGAGGAAGCTTTGGCCAGGCTGAGGACTGACCCATCAGAGGACTCAGAACTGAGGGCTGTCCATGGCCCTGGGGATCTGGTGTTGACCCACGCTTCAGCGTCGCTGGGCAGGCACATCAGATCTGCACTGGAGCCCAAATGGGGAGTGTCCGGCACCAGACTGGGAGCTCCCCAAGGTCAGGCTGTCTTTTCCCTGAATGCCAGGTGACCGCTGACTAACCATGGCCCCAGGACTGGTCCCTGGGGGCCCTGCGGGCTAACCCACGCACCTGACCAGTCGTCCCACGCTCGTGGGGAAAAAGCCCCCTTGCCAGACGAGCCGAGGTCTCGGCCGCTTCCCGAGAAGTCGTGGCCTTCAGCCTCGGCATCCTCGTCCTCACGGGGCGGAGGCAGGGGGAACTCTGTGGGTGAAGCAGAGGAACCACCATCCTGGTCAGGGCCAGGCGCCCAGAGGGTGAAGACCTAAAACAGCTCAGCCGACTGGGGGGGGGGGGCAGCCTTAGTGAGGCCGAGTCCAGCCAAAGCTGGGGTCCTCCCAAGTGTCTGTGCCCTCCTCGATCGGATGAAGCAGATTGCAGCTTCTCCCTCCCTTAGCACAGCACATCCTGAGCTCGAGCCCAAGGCCACTCCATCCTCCCCAGGGTGGACCACCATCTATAGCCGATCCCAGTGCACCCCCGCCCCATCCCCTCTGTTCCAGGCCTCTCCCTCCCTCAGCCTCCATTAGGGGTTAGAGCAGATGCTCCATGAGGGCAGGGGCGCTCACCCACCAGAGGAGCCGCCATTCACATCTGGAGAACTGGAGCAACTTTCAGACGTGGCCCTATGCACATCTGGAGGGGCAGGTCCAGACCAGGAGGTGCCTGGAGACAGAATGGACAAGTGGGGCCATGCCCTTCACTGGATGGAAAGGGAAACTGAGGCAGTGCAGTGTGGGTGGGTGGGACTGGAGGTTGTGTCCTGATGGTCTGAGGGCTATGGGGCAGGGAGGCCAGGGCTGGGAGAGGCCCCTCACTTGACAGATGGAGAAATTGAGGCAGTGTGTTGGGGGTAGACCTGGATAGGTCAGGGGTTTATGGGGGTGGGAAGGAAAAACCAGGGCTGCCAGGGTCCCTCATTTAACACATGGGGAAACTGAGGCAGTGTTGTTGGGGGGACCTGGAGAGGTGAGGGGTTTATGGGGGTGGGGAGGGAAAGCCAGGACTGGGAGGGGGCTCTCACTTGACAGATGGGGGGGTGTCTAGAAAGGTGTCCCGGGGCTATAGGGGGCCATGCGGGCAGAGGAGTAGAATGGGGGGTGGGGAGGTTGGGGTGTGTCTGCCTCATGATCCTAACTTGCCAGAAAAAGAAACTGAGGCGGGGGTGGTAGTCGGACCAGCTCCATCCTCTGCTGCGCCCGCACAGCCTCAGTTTTCTTCTCCCTATAACCAGGTGACGAGTCCCCAGTATCCCCATCCCCACACAACCCACGTGCGGGGCCTCTCCCCATGGAATCGATGAGATCATGCATCCCTAAGAGGACTGGAAAAAAGGAGCTCTCATCTCGATTGACTTTCCCTGGGGCTCCCAGCATGGAGCGCCCAGGTCGCGCATGCGCCAGAAATCCCCGCGCATGCGCGGCCACCCGCCCAACCCCAAGGCTGCCCCCGCACGGACCTGCGCGGCGCGAAGTGGCCCATATGCGAGCGCGGCCCCGACTCCGCGGCGCTCCGAGTACGCGCTCGGAAACGCGGCCGCCGAGGTCCAAATCAGGGCTGGGCCCAGGGTCAGAATCGGGGTCAGAGCTGGAGCCAGAGTCTGCCTTGCGCTGGCGGAAGTTCCGCGGAGGTCGCTGAGACATAGTCGACAGGTACTGCGCCGGCGCGAAACAGTCTTCGTTGGTTCCGGCTCCCCGCAATCTGAATAAGGCACTTTCCGACCGAGGCGCCTGCGCAATGGGCTCGCACGCCATTGGCCCGCGGCCCCGCCTGGCTCCGCCCCCGCATCCGCCGTTCCCCATCCCTGGGGCTTTGCTCCTCTCCGGCTGTGCAGCAGGGAGCTTCCCCACGCTGAGGTCGCTGCTGGCAGGGAGGACAGCCCGGGCAAAGGCCCGCAGGCACCTCAGTTCCAGCCTGTCACCCTCCTCCCTCCGTCCAAAGTGCCCGCATCAAAGTTGCCAGGCGTCTCCCAATTGCCAGTCTGATGATCGTGTCCCCCACCTCCCTGCTGCCATGGTTAACCACCTGGGGTTGGTGTGGAAGCAGAGAAAGCTGCTGCAAGCAGGGTGGTGGAGTTTGGGGGGCCGGGAGAGAAGTTGGGGCCCCCAAGGTTCGGGCTGAGCCTGGAGCCATGGCCCCTTTAACTGCATGTGGCCGGAACCCGGCTCCCACCTTGACCGCTCGTCATGCATCGGTCATCATGGGTCTTGCCTCGTCCCCCTCTCCGCTCCCAGCCATCTCATCAGGCCTTCTTCAGTCGCACCTAATTGGGGTCCCTGCCTCAAGCCCCTTCACCTGGCCAGTCATCCTGGCGTCCCCTATTCTTTCCCTGCTGGCACTGTCACCCCTCCAGCCGCCTCAATACCATCCCTCTTGGCACAGTGCAGGGCAGATAGTAGGGGCTTGGTGAGCATTTATCGACTCTGCATCGCCTAGCTTGTAATACAACCCGTCATCACTTTTCTTTAAAATGTGCAAGTCCTGGAGACCCTTCATTCTGCCAGGAGACAGTCACAAAGTCTGTTCTCAGCTGTTGGCTGTCTCAGGACTGACCCCTAGGCAGCTTACCAGCAGGCAGCCCCTTTGGATGAGATGACTTGATTGGGTTCCTAAGGGGAAGCAGTCACAACAAGCTGGGAGTAGGGGGAGTCAGTTCCTTTCCCCCAGCCCTTCGCATGTACCTGGCACCTGATCAGTATGTGTGAACCTGCCAGGCTCGCCTTCCCCATCCCCACTGTGGATGAATTTTCTCCCAGCTCCACCTGCCCCAAGGTTCCATTGCTAGGCCCCTTCTGGCAGGATGCCTATCCCTCTGGGATCTCAGTGACTTCTCCCTCTGGCCCCTCGAATCTCTCCTCTCTCCTTTACACTTATCAGATCTAAACGGAATTTATTGTTACTCTTCATCTTCCATTGCTACCTGCCCCAGAGGTGGATGTGGGAAGGGGACAGAGCAGCCCCCAGAGCTGTGGAAAACTCCCAGGAGCTGAATGAATGTCTTCTGGGGGGGGTGGGATTGGGTGCACCCTTCCTTTTGGCAAGGTGGACATGGGATGGCAGAGTTTCTTTCTTAAACAAGTCTGATCCCCCAAGCAACCCACTTTCCAACACCAATGCGCAAGGCTTGAAGACCAGTCACACCACAGTAGCTGTGTCCCTGAGAATTGCAGTCCTCACACTAGCCAGCATTCATTCCTCAGACACTATTGTCCTGTGTCCACGTGGAGAAAGGGGAGTTGGGGATGGGGCCCCAAAAGCCAAAGTTCTGGAACCTCACTACCCAAAAGGAAATGGAGAGCATTTGAAGTAGTCACCAGAGAGAACCTAGGTAAGTGGGCCAGACTGGGGACACAGGCATGTGGTGCCATCACTAATGCACTACAGAAAACCGGTTGAGTGGACAGACAGTCCAGAATCTTCGAGTCCTAGAGTTCAGTTGGACCCCTTGGAGATCTTCTCGTTCAGCCCTCCCACTCCACAAATGAGGTATCCATCAGGGGTCACAACTTAAAACCAGTGTCAGAGAGGAAGCGGGCAGGGTTCTCTTCTCTTTTTCCCATGGGGTATGATGGCATGCCAACACAGGACTCTCTAGAGACACCTTGATAGATGTGTAGTTTCCTATGGGGCCTCCTTGCCCAAAGGAGCTCTGCTTGGGGCTGACATGGAAAGTGTCCATGGGGGACAGGGACGGGCTGAGCCAAAAGAGGGGGCCCAACTTTCTCTAGCTGTTATTCCCCTGCCCCAGAGTTTATTTTGGGGAACTCTTTTGAGACAAAGCTTAGTTGTGACTCATATCTATGGTTGGTCATTCAGTCAATAAGCATTTATTAAGTACCTGCTGGGTGGCACATCGAATAGAGTACTGAGTCTGGAGTTAGGAAAACCTGACTTCAAATCCAGTCAGACTGTTCATAGCTGTGAGACCCTGGGCAAGTCCCTTTAGCCTCTATCTGCCTCAGTGTCCTCAACTGTAAAGGAGGATGCTAATAATAGCATGAACCTCATAGGATAATATCTGTAAAGCTCTTAGCACAGGGCCTGGCACACCATAGGCATTTACTACATGTTTATTCCCTTCCTTCCTATATGCCAGCCATAGTTCTAAGTACTGGAGACAGCGTCTTTGCTCTGAAAGAGCTCACAGTATAGTGAGGGAGACACCATACAAACAACTAGGTAAAAAAAAAAAAAGATCTAGGTGGGATAAAGGGGAGAGAATCCAAACACTCACCTTAGGGACAAGGAGAAAAGGCTTCCTGCAGAAGGCTGGATTTGAACTGGGACCGGAGCATGACGGGAGGTGGGAGTGAGGAGGAAAAGCATTCCAGGCATGGGAGAGAGCCAGAGAAAATGTCTATAGTCAGGAGAGGACGGGAGAGAAAGGAATCGGCATGATTGAAGTGCATCTTGTGTGCCAGGCACAGTGGTCATCCCTTTACAATAGCATATTTGATCCTTAAAACAATCTTGGGAGGTGGGAGCTAGTAGGATCCACATTTTATAGTTGAGGAAACTGAGGCAGAGGTGAAGTGACTTGGCCAGGGTCACGCAGCTATTAAATGTCTGAGGCTGAATTTGAACTCAGATCTTACTGATTCCAGGCCCAGCTGTCAGCGCCCTGTACCACCTGCCTAACAGGGTCGCTGGATCATAGAGTATGTGTCAGAGTGAGGTGTAAGAAGACTGGAAAGGGAGGCAGGAGGGAGGTCATGAAGAGCTTTGAAAGCCAAGCTGAGCATTTTGTATTTGATCCTGGAGACAGTAGGGAGCCACTGAAGTTTAACGAGTAGGGGATGACATGTCAGACCTGTGCTTTAGGAAAATCATTTTGGTGGCTGAATGGAGGATGGGCCGGAGAGGGAAGACACTTGAGGACAGCAAACACCCCAGCAACTGTTGCAGTAGTCCAGGGATGAGGTGATGAGGGTCTGCCCTAGGGTGGGGGCAGTGCTGCAGAGGTGACATTGACAGGCCTTGGCACCCTATTGGATGGAGGTGATGGGGTGAGAGATAGTGAGGACCCCAGGATGACTTCTAGGTTGTGAGCCTGAGGCACTGGGAGGAAGGTGCTGCCCTCAACAGTAATAGGAAAGGGAGCAAGGGGGCAGGTTTGTGGGAAAGATCATGAGTTCTCTTTTGGCCATGTTGACATGTTTGAGATGTCTACTGGACAGCCAGTTCAACATACCGGAAAAGCAGTTGGAGAGGCAAGATTGGAGGTCAGCAGAGAGTTTGGGGCAGGAAAGGGAGATTTGAGAATCATCAGCATTGTTGCTGTATCAAGTCTGACTCTTCATGACCCCGTTTGGGGTTTTCTTGGCAAAGGTACTGGAGCAGTTTGCCATTTCCTCCTCCAGATCATTTTGATGAGGTTGGTAGCAATGTGAAGGGTTAAGAGAGTGAAAGGAGAAAGTAGAGGCATCTAGCATAGACAGCCTTTGGGAGAGTTTAGCTATGAAGGGCAGAAGCGAAATAGGATGATATTTAGCGGAGAGGGAACAGTCGACAGGGAGATATGGGCCTGTCTGTAGGTGGGGAGGAGGGGAAGGAGCCAGGAGAGAGGGAGAGAGTGAAGATTCTAGTGGGCTGGCAAGGGCTGCCGTCTGCCGGGGAAGACAGCATAGGATGGACTCATCCGTGCTTTGACAAAGGAGTACAGTAATTGCTTCGTGTGAGGCAGGGGACAAGGGGGCCGAAGGCACTGAATGCTGCCAGAGGAGGAGGAGGAGGGGAGAAGGGGAGAAGGGGAGCTCTTTGGGACAAGCCTCTTTTCATTTGTCAGTAATATATGAGGCAAACTTTTCAGCCAAGAAGCTGGGGCTGGAGGTACCACAGTATGCAGTAAGTGCTTTGTTTAGGTATTCATTCATTGTATTTGCATCCCAAGGGTTTAGCTCATTTCTTAGCACTTCAAAGCAGAAGGTGGTAGGGGAGACAGGCTGGGCCTGGAGTCAAGAAGACGTGAGCTCAGACATTTACTAGTTGTGTGACCCAGGGTAAGGCATTGAACTTGTTTGCCTCAATTTCCTTTCCTGTAAAACAGAGATAAAAATTGTGCCCACCTCCCAAGGTTGTTGTAAGGATCAAATAAGGTCATATTTGTAAAGTGCTTATCACAGTGCCTGGCACACAGTAGGCACTTAATAAATGTGTATTTGCTTCCTTTTCCATTTCTGTATGACATGGCTCAAACAGCCCATCACGCTCATTATACTCCCCTTTTGTTTGTTTGTTTGTTGTTTTGGCTAGGCAATGGGGTTAAGTGACTTGCCCAGGGTCACACAGCTAGTTAAGTGTTATGTATCTGAGGCTGGATTTGAACTCAGGTCCTCCTGAATCCAGGGCCGGTGCTCTATCCACTGCGCCACCTAGCTGCCCCATTATACTCCCCTTTTGAAAGTACTGCCCAGGTATTTCCTGAGTGCAGACCCCTGACCTGCCAGGACATAACTCTTTAGTCTTTCAGCTTCAGGATAATCATGGCAGTCGTCAGCATTTCCCTTGAGAAGTTTACAGTTGTCTATATGTACAAAAATATTTATAGCACCTCTTTTCTGGGGGCAAAGAATTAGAAATTGAGGGGATGCTCATCAATTGGGGAATGGCTGAACAAGTTGTGATATGTGATTGTGATGGAATACTGTTGTGCTATAAGAAATGATGAGCAGGATGCTCTCAGAAAAACCTGGAAAGACTTGCATGGGCTGATGCAAAGTGAAATGTAATGTGTACAAAGTCACAGCAATATTGTAAGATGGTCAGCTGTGAATGACTTGGCCATTCTCAGCAATGCAACAATCTAAGACAGCTCTGAAAGACTTAGGATGAGAAACACTATCCATCCCCAACTGATGGTGTCTGAATACAGATCGAAGTGTACTCTTTTTTTAACTTTATTTTTCTTGAGCTTTTTTTCTTGTCTGTGTTTTCTTTCACAACATGACTATTGTGGACATATTTTACATGACTACACATGTATAACTATATCAAATTGCTTGGTTTCTCAATGGGGGGGTAGGGAGGGAAGGAGGGAGAGAATTTGGAACTCAAAATTCTAAAAACAAATGTTAAAAATTGTTTTTACATGTGACTGGGGAAATGAAATGTTAAATAAAAGGAAAAAAAAATTTACAGACATGAAAATCACCTCCTCACCACCTAGTACCCGACTTAGAAATCCCAGAACTCACCTTGTATTTATTGTCATGATTGCTCCTGGGGGAAGGCAAGAAAAAGAAAAATTCCTTTCCTTTTCTCCCTGGAGTCTCCTCATAGCGTTTGCTGCGGGACTTGGCATCCGTGAGGCATGAGTCACTCCACTCCTCAGCTGTAGCGTGTCCTTCCAGAGCTCAGTGGCCTTGCTTTGAATGACAAAGGACATGAAGCCCTTCAGTTACAGAGTAGTGAGCTTCAGTGGCCGTTGAGTGCGTAAAGTTCATGCCTACTCTTGGCAGTCTGTACAGAATATAAGTGGATTTGTGGGAGGTCACACTCCTTGTGCTGGGGGAAATACTTTGTAACAATTGTGCTTGCTATTCCATAGGAGTGGAGGAGCCTTTGCTAAAGAGCCACGTCTCTTGCCTGACTGTTAAAGAGAAATAGAGCAGTGGGGGCTCAAGAGCTAGGGTTAAGGTTGCCCTTAGGATCCTGAAAATAGTAGTAGCCATCTTTGTTGTGACTTGACTTTCCAATAGGAGTTGGCTGAGTGAGCCCCAAAGGCCCCTGGATCCACTGATGAGCTTCCTCAGACACACTGCTGCTGAGGACTGGCTCCTCACCAACCTCATCTGTTGCAGTTCAGGGCAGATTCTGGTGACTTTTCTGACTTTCTGAAGGTCAAAAGGTCATCACCTGGTCTATATCCCCTAAGATCGGGAAATAATAGACACAAGAAGGACAGAAAACCATACGCACCGTGTGTTCATGGCCACGTGGTGGCCCCAGATGAGGCAGCCAAGTAAGGCCTGATGCTTATGCTGATGGTACCTCTCTCGTCTTGGTGGTCCACAGTATTTCTGCCTCATCACTCCAAAGCTACTAGGGAGACAGCATTCTTCCTTTTAGTCATGTCTTTGATCTCCATGCTCAACAAGTAATTACAATGCATGTCATTAACCTAAAATAAGTGGATGGGAAATAGAGAATATCGGTAGGAGCTCCTAAGTGGAAAGGTAACATAGTGGGTAAGGATACCTACTATCACACCCTTCTGGAAACAGGCTTACCAAAGGTTCTGTGGGGAGATCATAGGCACAGCCGCTGCCCATGTTCAAAGAACTGTGCCCCCGTATCAGACGTGGCTCTTATAGGTGGGGGCCAGGAGAGAAGAAAAAATGGATAGTTCAACCAAGCTCTGGCCTTGATTCAAATCGCGGCCCTATGGAGAAAGGCTGGAGTCGTCTAGCAAAAATTTTTTGGTGGTGAGGATGGAGCAAAAGACCTGGAATGTTCACTGCTTGTGCTTCAGGTTAGCCAGTCAACCTGGCTATGGTGGCGAGGAAAGCCAGGCCCTTCTGGTGAAAACTTAAGGGTTACTACTTTATGTTTGCCTATGTTGTCCTGGTGTCCAGGCAGAACCCCGAAGGAGAGATGATGAAACATAGAGAGGGTGGGCTGAGTGATAATGGATTAAGGGATAGTTGAAGGGGAGTCATTCCTCTGTCTTACTAGTTTGGAAGGGGGCTGACCTCCAGGGCAGGCCTGCCAGGGCTCACAGAGGCCTCACCAAAGAGGACACTGAGAGAGCCCAGAGAAATGAATTGGCTTGCCCAAGGACACAGAGGCGATAGGTTGGCAAAGCTGGGGTGGTCTTTCCATGGTGTGATGCTCTCTGCCCTAAGAGAACATCCCTCACCTCCAGCAGCTTATAGACTAGTAGGAGATAAGTCAGCACATGGAAGCTACAGGAATCATGAGGAAGAGATGTCACATTCCCCCACTCGCACCCCCACGGCCTTGTGGCCACATCAGGAGCTCTCTCACCACCCAGATATCCCCTTGGTGTTGGGAGCACAGCCTGAGTCACTGACTGACATCTACATTGTCTTTCCTAAACTGGCTCCCCTCCAAACAGGGTGCCATTTGCCTTCCAGGCACCCAGGCTTCCCACCTCAGTCTTCCCCCTCTCTGCCTCCTGTCCCTTCCGAAAGGACAGCTCTGACCATGTCCTTCTCATTAAACTTCAGTGGCTCCCTGCTACCGCCAGGATATCATGGCGTCTTTTTTTTAATGCCTTTTTTTGTGTTCTTTAGTTAATAACAGCGGATAATTATAATTATTTAATTTCACAAATAAAATGAATTTCATTTATTTTAACCTTATGGTTAATTTTTATCCATAAACAAAATACAAATTTTCTTTTTAAAATATTCATTTTGTCGGTTCTAACATTTGGAAAGTGCTATGATATCAATGCTATCTATTGATCATTATTAATTCTTAGCCCCAAAGGTCCACAAAGACTGACTTAGATCTGGAATTGTTGGGATCCAGAGGCCTCCCAGGCAGGGAGTCTTGGGTTCCCCCTGCCTGACACCTCCTGGCTGTAGGACGCCCGCCAGCGGGTGGCATGACCTTCGCGTGGCCTCTGCTAGGGCCCGTCTACCCGCACTGGTGGAGGGATTGGCCCCTCTTGGGAGCTGCCAGTACCGCTTGGCTCAGGCCCAAAGTGTGAGCACGTGCAGGGCATTGGGAGGGAGCCGCCCCTCTCCTGGCCAGGCCCCGCCCCTCCTGCTTGGTCTTCAGCTTCCATGCTCCCATCCCCGGCCTTCCGGCCCCGCCCCCTCGCTCTCCCAGCCTTCCTGGAAGGGCTCCTT